AATAAATAAATAAATAAATTGGTTTGTGTAATCACGGCGAACACGTCTTATTAATCAACGATTTAGCATTAAATTCAACTTCAACGTATCAAAGACATCAAAATAACACAGTATGACTATTCACATGAGATGCGTATGTTACATAGCAGGTGTATTACATTAGACTCTTTACTCTTACCTGCGTGTGCGTTCAGCACAAATATGCAGACGACAACGAGAAACACTTCATTCGGTTTCATGTCAATAACAAATTTACATCTGCATTTAGGTGCTCGATAGCTTTCGCGTCACCCACAATGTATTCGTCTATGCTAAGGAAATCCTTATGCGTTGATAGATGCTCGCATGATGTGGTTGGTACACGACCTAACAAGTTAACGGGGTGACTACACTACCAATCGTTTATTTGATATGCACACGCAAACGATATGCGTTACTAGGTTTCACCGCTGCCTATATTAATCAATAATACTAGGACTATAGTAGGTTTTAGCAACGCGAAAATGAATAGAGGAACAGTGGTATACCGACACGTATACAGTAACGTTATAATAATCTGTAGTCATTTCAGTCCACACACTTGCAACGAAATACATGAGCATCGTTAAGGCTTAACGCCTTAAACGTTTTTGTTCACCTTCTTCCGTCAATGCTTACTATATCGTGTCTAATCGTGTGCATAACATAGTGAATACGCGCTTTCTACTTCAATAAATTAGCATAATTTCTATTGACAATATATTATAATACGCATGCGCGAAAACAGATCAGTAGCTGCTCGCCACGCTAGTGGGAGAACTCTGTAACACTGGACAGCCTATATAATTGTTGTAACGATGATGTTGTTTACCGTATGAGTATACATGCAGTCACGCACCCTTACTAAATACACATTTATGACACTACAGCTGTACTAGCCGTGTCGATGGTCGCCTTGCCAGCCAAGATAATTTTTTCGGCCAAACGCGCTCAAAATGGGTAGGAGTATGCCCTGGAGAGATATATGTGCATAGTAAAATCCGCTCTGAAAATTCCAGTTTGGCAACACATTCCGCCACAATCCTTATTCTTATCTATACTAATGCGTAGGGATGGCGCTCGCGTCGCTGCTTGCATTGCCAGTAAAGATATTTTTTCAGCCAAACTTACGCGTTCAAAATGCCAGGGGTATGCCCGGGAGAGATGTGCATGGTAAAACGTGCTCCAAAAACGTTACTTTAGGCGCAGCATCCCGCCACAATCCATCTCCTATGCTAGTGTACATAGTAAATTTGGCGCTCGCGTCGCTGGTTGCGTTGCCAGCCAAGAAAATGTTTTTTGGCAAAACTTACGCGTTCAAAATGGGTAGGGGTATGGTCGGGAGAGATGTTCATGGTATAGGCCTATCTAATTGTTCTAAAAAAGTTACTTTAGCTGCAGCATCCTGCCACAATCCATCTCCAATGCTAATGTACAGGGGGATGCATGGGGCCCGTGTCACTGGTTGCGTTGCCAGCCAAGATCATTTTTCCGGCAAAACTTGTGCGCTCAATATGGACAGGGTATGCTCGAGAGAGATGTGCCATGTGGATGATGAAACCTGCCCTAAACATTACAATTTGGCAGCAGCATCCCGCCACAATCCATCTCCGACGCTATGTTCATAATAGTGATGCTCGCGTCGCTGGTCGCGTGTATGCTCATGTGTTTGTACACATAGTCAGATCATAGGTCAGATGCAATTTACAGGCTCATGATTTCATTGTAGAAAATCAGCGTGTCTCGTGGGCATACATAAAAGATTTCTACATTAAGGATTCAAGCAGTCAACTGGGACTAAGGCTTACCCCAAAGTTAACAAAGAAACACGTTGTGGCACAACCCTTTTCTAAAATGAAAGTAAAGCTCGCAGTTCAGGTTTTGAGTCACACTGTATATGCTGGTATACTGGCACATGTTTGCTCCAGTGACCTTCCACAGCAGGAAGTGCACACAGCCAACTTCATTTATAAAATGGATCAGCTGTTCGACAGTTTCAACAGTACTACATACAACAGCACAAAGCAGTTTAAATGTGCTCTGAGACACAATAGCCCTCGCATCGTTTTCTTAAAAAGCATGAGAAACTTTTTGAGTGGGATAACTGTGGTTGGAGCAAGGAGCCTCCCTCCGTGTATACCAGGGTTTGTGCTTTCTATATCTGCTTTGCTCCAACTTTGGGATGAACTATCGAGTTCAAATCTTGGTGTCAAGTTCTTGCTCACGCGTAAGATAAATCAGAATTACATCGAGAACTTCTTTAGTGTTATTAGACATCGTGGAGGTAATCACGACAATCCAACACCGAAACAGCTCGGCGACATATTTAAGCAGGTTTTGATTAATAGACTACTAAAACCGTCATGCAATGCAAACTGTGAACCTGATATGGAAACGTTTTTGCTATCACTTTCACAAATTGATAAACCTGTTGCACATTCAAATTTGTATGTACATATTCAACAGTCAGAAAAAGAAAGTTCAGCCAATACAGATGACGTGTTTCTATAGAATTGAAGTCAATTCCAGAACAAAATGCACTGTTCTATGTTGCAGGGCATTTTTGTCACAAACTGTTGAAATCGCACAAGTGTGATGAATGTAGAGAACAACTGACGAATCAACATACAAAAGAAATCATAGGCGTAAATTAAACGTTTACCTTTTGTAAAGGTTATCAAAACCTGGATGGTGAATGTGGTGGTTTACAAATACCAAATGATAAGCATAATGAAGATTCATGAATACATTTCCAGCTGTCATGCACATGGAGAATGTATCATTTCGTATTGTTAAAGGGACAGTAGCCTCTAGGATTTTACTGCATACAACTGTATACTTACTGTATAACAAATCGTCTATACCCACACGTATTTGTTACCAGATACCTAATTTAATTGTTATAATTAACACATCAATAATTGTTATAATAACACATCAACGCTACGAAATTTGAACGGCGCCATGACACCCGCGACCGTGCTGCCACCCCGAAAAAGTTGCGTATTTGACAATTTATTTTTCACGTTACAGACCGAGGGCTAATCACAAAAGTGCAATTATATTTATACCTAAATGCTATTTAATCGAACGATATTCATTTTAGGGCAAATTTATCCATATTATAACTAAAACTATATGTCGTTTATAAGATATTACAATCCTTTTGCTTTTAAATGAATAAATAAGAAACACCCTCGGTCTGTAGCCCTTGGGTGGAGTGGGTTTGCGCAACTTATCAGATCATGCGCTTTGAGTGGCGCCACCGTCGTTGTAATCAAACTGTAGTCGTTAGTTTTAAAACATTAAAAAAAAAATATTTCTAATGGTGATTGAACCATGAAACTTTTTATGTAGCATAATTATAACCTAAATTAGTTGAAAATAACCCTAGAACCTAGAGTAAACTCTCCCTTTAAATGTATATTTGAGAAGCATGACCTCTCGTGGTTTGATATGGGGACGATCGACGAATGCCTAACATAGTCTGTGGGCTTATATATAAAAACACAAAACTCTCGGAGCCAAACAACTGGGAGCACAGATGTGGACAGCCCTATGATAACGAATCGTCAAGTAGCTGGTCCGAAGTTAACTCCAACCCAAGTGATTCTGGAGAATGAGACAACCCAATCGCCACCGCTGGTTAAGACGCCAGATAAACTTTCAGTGACTGTTAATCAACCGCGGATAACTCGCAGTGGTCGTGTTTCTAGACCACCCAAAATTCTTGATTTGTAAAACGGAAAGATTCATATTCGATAATGTTGGATATTGTAAAACGGGAAGTTTCATATTCGTCTTGGTATGAATCTTGTACATTTCATTACTTGTGTCACATAGAGATGGATATGGAATTTCGTCAATTATTA